ACTAAATCGTTGTATAATAAAGATTTGACATAGTGCAACGGAGTAGCGTAGACTAAAGGACTAATACAAGAATGTGGTAAAAAAAACAGATATAAGGTTAGGGAAGACAGTATCCAGGAACGTAATAAATGTTGGATAATAGGCACCTGTTCAACATAAAATAGACGCTGGCCTTAGGCACCCAAAATGTATCATCTTTTTTGTGCCATAATCGTGTGAGTGGCGTGTTCTTTATTAAATTAGGTCGTAATAGTGGCTTAACGATAAAGAGAGTTCTAATTAAGTATGTTAAATCGACGAGAAGAAAAACAAATTTTAAACCTTACCGTGACATTTTCCTTTTTTTCTATCTCAAAATTCGTTGGAATAAACTCATTTGGCGACGGAATTTTTAATTGAGGGTCAGGATCCAAATTTTGTAATGTCTAAACAATGAATGTAATATGAATAAGAAAGTTGAAATAGATGGTAAACGTTTCACATGCAGTTACCTGAATGAAGTCTGGGTCAATAGGTATGACTTTGTATTCTGTTCCATACCACTTTTCCCTTTGATCCAAATCGGTGAATGATGGGCTAACCAATGTAAGAGCGAAACTGTCAGCACGCAATAAATCCAAAATTTCATCGATCAATTTTTGATCATAATTTCTAATCAAATAAGGACCTAAAAATTTTAATTACCAAATTATTACAAAGCCTAAAAATAATTAGTAACAAAAGAAACTAACCCGAAATGGCCCATTCGCGTTTAAAAGGCTGATGTAAACTAGAAGCCAAAAATGACACATAATCCGCAGGAGAACTTGATTTCTCAAGAAACCGAAACTTAATAGCCTGAAGATTTTGTAACTGTTTTTTTTTTTCCTTTAATTAGCATAACCAATAATTTTGCTAATAAAAACATTGATATCATCTCTTTTGAATGTTCGACGTGAAAAAGAAGCAGATACCTCTCGAAAGATATACTCTTTATTGTGAGAATAGAGATATGATTATCATTTCTTTGCACAAACCGCCACGAGAAACAACCCAAGCCAACATAAGTCTTAGCCTACCTTGGACGCCAACTTTCTTCATCAATTTGATGTGCTGGAACACTAGTTTCACAATCTCTTGATAGTTTTCTGTAAAAATTTTTCAACTTTAACCTAAAAAATTTGAATCCAGAAACGATCATAATACATATCTAACCTTACCTAGCCCTGAGGGTGTAAGATTTATTGAAACGTTAAAGAACCCATGACCTAAGGTTATTTCACTTGAGCCAGCACTTAAACTGGTTGCCCATCCTAGACATGAAAGTTATTTCAAATGCCGCTGTTAAGGACTTTTAAACATAGAACATTTTGATCTAACAATAAATCTACCTTTCATCTTGAGCAAGGATAATATCGAGCCGACGCCCTCATGCATAATTAAATGTGAAATATAACTTGATGGCTTTCATGGAATTTCTTAAATTAACGCCGATCAAAAAAATGACAAAAAGCACCATAAAAACTCTTGTTCTCTCACCTTAACTTCGTAATACTCCCCCATGTCTGGAAATGGCCACTTCAGCTTTAAACCTCGAATATCTTTAATTGATTTCGCAAATAATTGTCTCTAAAAAAATTTCGAAAAAATCAAAAAAAATCCATGCATGTCTTTTTCGTGAACTAAATAATAAATTATCCAACTACCTTTAATTCCCTTTCAGTAAATGGATGACCTCCAAAGGTGGGTATCGGAAGGTTTTTGTTTTTAATATCTAAATTTTTTCCCTGATTACTAATGATATGTAATTTTTCACAAAATCAATCGATTTCCTAACTACCCGAAAATTTTTCAACAACCCATTGTGTCAACTGATCCAATGAATCACGCCCAAGCACAACTAATTTCATATAATTAGCTGTGTAATG